CCTGCTGGGCGTGGACAACTTGGGAGCCAGCCGGAACTCCGTTCCTGTGCGTTCCTGCCCAAAAATAGCCCTGCTTTTTCTAGTAGGGGGAGCGGCACGCCAAACACATCTCCCTCCCTCCCCATGCCACCAGCACAGGAGCCCCAAAGGATACAAGGCATATCAGTCCTGATTGGCCAGTGCCAGGGCCTGATCCCTCGAGAAAGAGCTCCTGGGCGGACGCTTGTGCAGCAGAGTGATTATCTCCTTTCCTCCCACCCCCGAACGCCGTGTGACTAACGTTGGCGCTGGTGCCCGAGCCCGGCACGCTGTGTTAGCGAACCATTCAGACCCGCACAATGTGACTCTCCGCAGTTGCTAAATATATCTGGCTTAATCCTCGGGGCCGCCGTGCGGGAAGATCTTACATGTTGTTCCCAGTGGGGTCGAGGTGAGCGGGCTCTCCTCTTTTCATCCCTGCCGGGAGAGCTGTGTGAACTCCTGACACTCGCTTTACATCTCGCCCTTCCGAGATGCCTTTGCTGTTTTGACTGGACCCGTTTCTGTTCTAGGAGACCTTTCCGTTCCACCGCACCCACCCCTTTCCTCGCTAACCGCCTGCAAAAGGCACCTCCCCAGCATGGGCCCAGCACCGCTTTCTGGCACAGGCTTGTGAGATCTAGATCCTTCCATCCTCTCCCCCCCCCCCCCCCCCCCCCTCCGTTTTATCTGCCATCACACAGCGGGCGTGGGGGGCATCGGGGAAGTGTTAACCACTGCAGCAGAGCCTAGCAACAGGAGGGGAGGACGCTGGCCAAGTGGCGTAGTGATTAGGAGCAGGGACTCTAGGAGAACCGGGTTTGATTCCCCACTCCTCCACTTGCAGCTGCTGGATGACCTTGGGCAAGCCGTAGTTCTGTCAGAGCTGTTCTTGAAGAAAATAGCAGTTTCTGTCAGAGCTCTCTCAGCCCCCACCTACCCCACAGGGTGTCTGTTGTGGGGTTGTTGTTGTTCAGTCGCACAGTCGAGTCCGACTCTTCGCAACCCCGTGGACCAGGTCACGCCAGGCCCTCCGGTCTTCCGCCGTCCTCTGAAGCTTGCTCAAAGTTCATGTTCGTTGCATCTATGACACTGTCTGACCATCTCATCCTTTGCCGTCCCCATCTTCTTTGACCTTCAATCTTTCCCAGCATCAGGGTCTTCTCCAGTGAGTGCTCCCTTCTCATTGGGTGGCCAAAGTCTTTGAGCTTCAGTTTCATTATCTGGCCTTCCAGGAAACAGTCAGGGTTGATTTCTTTTAGGACTGACTGATTTGATCTCCTGGCAGTTCAAGGGACTCTCACGAGTCTTCTCCAGCACCATAGTTCAAAAGAATCTATTCTTCGGCAGTTGGCCTTCCTTATAGTCCAACTCTCGCGGCCAAACATGACTACTGGGAATACCATTGCTTTGACCATGCGCACTTTTGTTGGCAGGGTGATGTCTCTACTTTTTATCATGCTGTTTAGGTTCGCCATCGCTTTCCTCCCAAGGAGCAGGCATCTTTTAATTTCATGGCTGCTATCGCAGTCTGCGGTGATCTGGGATCCCAGGAACGTAAAGTCTGTCACTACTTCCACGACTTCCCCTTCAATTTGCCAAGGAGTGATGGGGCCGGATGCCATGATCTTAGTTTTTTTGATGTTGAGCTTCAAGCCCACTTTTACGCTCTCCTCTTTTGTGAGGTTCTCTTCCGGAACACCCGTCGGCTTCTTCCTTCTCAGCTATTTGACTACAGCATCCAGGCATTAGTAAAAACGTTTTTTGTATTGCAAGCAATGCTCCCTCTAAGCCAGGGGTGTCGAACTCATTTGTTACGAGGGCCGGATCTGACCTAAATGAGACCTTGTTGGGCCGGGCCATGTGTGTCATAAAATGTGATGCCAGGTAGCGGAGATATTAACTTTATAAAGGACACAAACACAAAGGGTGGTGTGTTTTTTTACTTAAAATAAAAACATGCTTAAAACATTAGCACTCTTGCAATATTTTGTTTATTGAACAGTGTCTGATAACTGACACCTCTTGCTCTGGATTACTGCATCAAAATGTCTGTGCCTTTGCAGTCTTGAGTATGCTGTTCAGGGGTGTGTATCTGTAAGCTGCAAACCTACGATGACGCAGCAGCAGAACTGGAAGAAGAGAGAAAAAGAGAAAAGCAAGAAGGTCACAGTCCACAGTACAGTAAAGCAAAACACACAAAGGAAACTGTGCAAAAATAGCTGCAGTTTATATCACAAAAGTCTATATTTTCATGTCATGCCGAAAGTCAATTTGTCTTTTTCAGACATACAATCAAAGACGTCTTCGCAAGGTAATGATGACGATGATAGATAGGGCCTGATAGAAGCCCTTTGGGGGCCTGATCCAGCCCCCGGGCCACATGTTTGACACCCCTGCTCTAAGCTGAGTCTTGTGAGCAAAAATTCTACTTTCTGAGCTACTGGCATTCAAATGAGCAGTTTGGCTGCTGCATAAATCAGTTTGCTTCGGAGCCATCCTTCCTGAGCTAAGGCAAAAATGTGTGCACTTGGAGGCTAAGAAACTGTGACCTAGCTCACACTCACTCAGCTTAGAGGGAACACTGATTGCAAATGAGGCTGTTGAACACCTTGAGGATTGGACCGCTGCCAGCGGGTGCATCCGTGCAAAGTGCTTTTCTGTTTCTGTGTGGCCGGAGTCCCACAGGTGCGGAAAGGCTGGGTCAGCAGTTTCGCCCGCTCCGTTGGTTTTCCTGCCTTTCCCTTTCAACCACTCTGAACAGCTGTTTCTTGTTCTTCTCAGGCCGCAAGACATCATCGTGTTTATTATCGGAGGGGCGACCTATGAAGAAGCCCTGACTGTTTATAATCTGAATCGCACCACGCCTGGCGTCCGGATCGTCCTGGGCGGTACCGTTATCCACAACACAAAAAGGTAACCCAAGCTTTGAAGCGGCATCAGGCCTTTACCGTTCGTTTCTGAAGACTACTGTGTATTCCATCAAGACAAATCTAGGGCTGGAGATACTTCTTCCCCCAAAGAGCCATTAACACATGGAAAGCACTACCGCAGGAAGTGGTGGCGGTGGCTATAAGCATATGCAGCTTCACGAGGGGATCGGATGAACACGTGGAGCAGGGGTCCATGAGTGGCTATTAGTCCATGAGTGGCTATTAGTCTGGAGCGGTGATGCTCTGTCTTCTTGGTGCTTGGGGGGGCAAGAGTGGGAGGGCTTCTGGAGTTCTGGCCCCACTGGTGGACCTCCTGATGGCCCCCGGGTTTTGGCCGCTGTGTGACACAGAGTGTTGGACTGGATGGGCCATTGGCCTGACCCAACATGGCTCCTCTTATGTTCTTATGCCTGGGGGCAGTGATGCTCTGTATTCTTGGTGCTTGGGGGGCAAGAGTGGGACGGCTTCTGGAGCTCCAGCCCTGCAGGTGGAACTTCTAATGGCACCTGGGTTTTGGCTACTGTGTAACACAGGGTGTTGGACTGGAGGGGCCATTGGCCTGATCCAGTGTGGCTTTTCTTCTTCTTCTTTTGGGGGGGGCAGTGACGTTCTGTCTTCTTGGTGCTTGGGGGGGGCAACAGTGGGAGGGCTTTTGGAGTTCTGGCCCCACTGGTAAACCTCTTGATGGCCCCTGGGTTGTGGCCACTGTGTGACACAAGAATGTTGGACTGGAGGGGCCATTGGCCTGACCCATTGTGGCTTATCTTCTGTTCTTACATCTGGGGCAGTGATGCTCTGTCTTCTTGGTGCTTGAGGGGGGGGCAACAGTGGGAGGGCTTCTGGAGTTCTGGCCTCGCTGGTGGATCTCCTGATGGCCCCTGGGTTTGGGGCACTGTGTGACACAAGAGTGTTGGAATGGAGGGGCCACTGGCCTGATCTGGCATGGCTTCTCTTACGTCCTTATGTCTGGGGCAGTGATACTCTGTATTCTTGATGCTTGTGGGGGGGCAAGAGTGGGAGGGCTTCTGGAGTTCTGGCCCCACTGGTGGACTTCCTGAGGGCCCCTGGGCTTTGGCTACTGTGTGACACAGAGGGTTGGACTGGAGGGGCCATTGGCCTGATGCAGCATTGGCCTCTCTTATGTTCTTACATCTGGGGCAGTGATGCTCTATATTCTTGGTGCTTGGAGGGGAGGCACAGTGGGAGGGCTTTTGGAGTTCTGGCCCCGCTGGTGGACCTCCTGATGGCCCCTGGTATTTTTGGCCACTGTGTGACACAGAAGAGTGTTAGACTGGATGGACCACTGGCCTGATCCAACATTGGCTTCTCTTACCTTCTTATGTCTCGGGCAGTGGTGCTCTGTCTTCTTGGTGCTTGGGGGGGGGCAGAGTGGGAGGGGCTCCTGGAGTCCTGGCCCCGCTGGTGGACCTCCTGATGGCCCCTGGGTTTGTTGCCACTGTGTGGCACAGAGTGTTGGATTGGGTGGGCCCCTGGCTTGACGCAACATGGCTTCTCTTATGTTCTTATGAATCAGTACATTGCTTGACAGCAACGCAACTCTGTGAATGGGACCCGCAGGAAGATGGCGGACAGTGTTGGGTTGCTGGGTAGATTCAAAAGCCCTCCTCCCTCGCATGTTCTTTTTCTCCTCAATCAATTTGCTAGTCTGCTCCTCACTGCGTGGCAAGTAAGATCCTTGCCAGAGCGACTGGCCTGTGCGACTAACCCCCAGCTCAGACCCGGTTGGCCGTTTGTTCCGGGCTCTGCTTTGCATTCTGGGTCCCGGCGAGCCACTCCCAAGAATGTCAGGAACTGCCTTGTGCCAAATCCGACTCGGGTACGTCTAGCTGGTTTCTGGCTGTGACTTTAAGTGGGTCGTAATGGAGACTGCGGTGGCTCAAGTGGTTAAGACTTTGAACTGCAGGCTGTGGAAGGTCGGTAGTTCAGCAGTTCGAGACCCGAGTGTGCCGCATGATGGAGTGAGCTCCCGTCTCTAGTGCCAGCTCCTGCCAACCTAGCAGTTCGAAAGCCAGAAATTACAAATAGATAAATAGGTACCGATGGAGCTGTGGTGGCTCAAGTGGTTAAGACTTTGAACTGCAGGCTGTGGAAGGTCGGTAGTTCAGCAGTTCGAGACCCGAGTGTGCCGCATGATGGAGTGAGCTCCCGTCTCTAGTTCCAGCTCCTGCCAACCTAGCAGTTCGAAAGCCAGAAATTGCAAGTAGATAAATAGGTACCACTTCGGTGGGAAGGTGACAGCGTTCCGTGCGCCTTGGTGTTTAGTCATGCCGGCCACATGACCACGGAAACATCTCTGGACAGCGCTGGCTCTTCGGCTTTGAAACGGAGATGAGCACCGCAACCCTAGAGTCGGATTCGACTGGGTTTCGAGCAAGGGAACCTTTACCTTTACCTAAATAGGTACTACTTCGGTGGGAAGGTAACAGCATTCCGTGCGCCTTGGTGTTTAGTCATGCCGGCCACATGACCACGGAAACGTCTTCAGACAGCGCTGGCTCTTCGGCTTGGAAACGGAGATGAGCACTGCAACCCTAGAGTCGGACTCGACTGGCTTTTGAGCAAGGGAACCTTTACCTTTTAATGGAGATATAGTCGTAGGCTGTCCCTGGTCGGTACCTTCCCGCCCATAATTTAAACCCATTCTATTGCGAGTCCTCTCCTTTGCTGCCAACAGGAACAGCTCCCTGCCCTCGTCTGAGTGAAGGCCCTTCAGATACCTCAAGGGAGCCATCCTGTCCCCCCTCAGCCTCCTCTTCTGCAGACTGAACCTTCCCAAGCAGTCCCTCGGCCTTTCCTCACAGGGCTTAATCATCCTCATCGCTCTCCTTTGCTGCCTGTCCACATCCTTTTTCAAGTGGGGCCTCCAGAGTTTTGTCTCTTCCTTTAAAAAAGCACTTCTAACAGCTGTATTTTATTTACCGTATTTGTATCCCACCATCCTCCCCAATGGGGACCCAAAGCCACTTTCCTCTCCTTCCCTTTATCCGTACAACAACCCTGTGAAGTAGGTGAGGCTGAGAGAGTGTGACTGGCCCGGGGGCACTTTTTTGGCCCCTGTGTGACCCAGAGTGTGGGACTGGATGGGCCATTGGCCTGATCCAACTTGGACTTCTCTTCTGTTCCCTTATGTCACCCAGCGCATTTCCATGGCAGAGTGGGGATTCGAACCGGGAGTCCCCCGGATCCTGGTTCGACACTTTAACCACTTCGCCAGACTGGCTCTCATCACCGCATCGCGTCTGATGAATGGTACAAAACAAGTGAGATCAGAAAACGGCATCAGGAGTATTGGAGTTTCAGTACTGCGTGTTCTTGCTTTCTGCAGACGCACACACAAATTCCTTTCCCATTCCCCCTGCCTTTGAAGTTCTGATGTGTTCAGATCCCCTTTTTGGAGGAGATCAGCCAGTGCTCTTCATGACATCCTGGAAGAAGAAGAGGAGGAGGAGGAGGAGGAGGAGGAGGAGGAGGAGGAGGAGATTGGATTTATACCCCCGCCCTTCACTACCCGAAGGTGTCTCAGAGCGGCTTACAAACTCCTTTCCCTTCTCCTCCCCACAACAAACACCCTGGGAGGTAGGTGGGGCTGAGAGAGCTCTCTCGAGAACTGCCCTTGACAGAACATCTCTGATGTGACTGACCCAAGGTCACACCAGCAGCTGCATGTGGAGGAGTGAGGAATCAAACCTGGTTCTCCCAGATTAGAGTCCCTGCACTTAACCACTATACAAAACTGGCTCCTAGAAGGAGGTGGAGGAGATTGGATTTATACCCCCGCCCTTCACTACCCAGAGGAGTCTCTGAGCGGCTCACAGACCCCTTTCCCTTCTCCTCCCTACAACAGGCACCCTGTGAGGCAGGTGGGGCTGAGAGAGCTCTGACAGAAACGGCTCTTTTTTCCAAGAACAGCTCTGGCAGAACTATGGCTTGCCCGAGGTCATCCAGCAGCTGCGAGTGGAGGCGTGGGGAATCAAACCCGGCTCTCCCAGGTTAAAGTCCATGCACTTAACCACGACACCAAACTGGCTCTCCTCCTCTCTGAGTTTCTATAAACACTGTTGTGTGTTGCTAAAAAAAAAGGGGGGGGAGATAGAGACCGGCCCATGCGTTTGCTGAGAACCCCTGTTTTCACAGTGCGGTTGTCCATCTGACCTGGTGGTTGGGGGAATTCCTCCTGCAGCGGGGCACCGAATGTACCTCTGGGCCTCCGCCTTCCTGCTGTCTCTTGGAAGAGAAAAGTAGCGACGGCGGCTTCCTTCCCTTGCCGGCCGGCTACCAACCGAGAATTCTTTCCGTCCCCCCCCCCTCTCCAAAACACGGTGCTCTCTCCCGTCTCCACCCGACACTGCCTTTGACCTGGGTCCCGTCAGCCGATAAAAGCGGCCCGCGTTTGGAAAGGCTGGGGGGGACAGGTGACCCGGATCCGTTCCTGGTGTGCCGCTGTAGCAGATGCGAAATCCAAGAGCCCTTTGGAGGTCCCCAACAGCTGCTCCGAAATTATGGCTCTCTCGTCTCAGGGAAAGGAAGCTTTTAGACCTCATTAAACATAAATGGGTTGGTTGCGGGGAGGACGCCTCGTTTGAATCATTCCCTGCTGAGATTACCCACACACACACACACACAGAGAGATGCCCTTAAAGCAAGAAGCGTTAGGAGAATGTCTTAGAATGTGGGACTCTCACATCCTCATTTTATTTCGTGTGCAGTTCTGGAGATGTTGGCTGCGCAAAGCTCCACAGAGGAAGCGGTTGCACTTTACGAAACTCTATGAAGTCCTCGACTGGGAGGGAGTAATGGCCTTGCGCTTTTGGCCGGCAACTTGGGAGTCTGGCTCGGCCCGGCTCTGTCGTTTGAGGAGGGACGTCTGCAGTGGCCGAAAGTGCTTCTAACCGTCTACCTTTGTCCCATAAGTTTCCCCACTTATCTGGAGACTGCCGGTCTGGCCGTTCTGATCTGTGCAAG